GTCCATTTGTGGCGGGCGTTTGGGTCGGAATGTTGTGGCTTGATAGGGCCCTTATAAGGGCACCTTCCTTGGAGAAAGCCGCTATGCAGCGCCTGCTCAGGGTCGCGGAATTCCGTCCTGCCAGGCGTATTGATCCTCGTCTTGGGGGATTTATCGTGCCAACTGCCCTTAAAATTGAATCTCAAGTGTGACTGGTTCTCTTCTCAATAGAACTATGCGGATTGAAATGAATTGCAGGGAATATGTGGCTAATGACCCTTGTGAAATATGACCCTGCTCCACAAACTTATTTAAGCTATCTCGATGTTTGCGAGCCGATGGATGTCGAAGCGTTAACGAATCATGCAATTGATGGGAAAACAATTCACGTGTTGATCAACAACGCAGGTCTATCAATGCGTGGAGCCATAGAGGATACTCCAATAAAGATCTACAAGTAGGTTTCCTCAAGCTGTGAAGAAACATCACATCGAACCACTCAATCAGCTTCCTTTAGACAGCTTATGGATGTAAATTTCTTTGGGCATGTGGTGGTCACACAGAAACTGTTGGACACGATCCCTGATGACGGCTGCATTATTGCAACGAGTAGTGTGCAAGGAAAATTAGCAATTCCGTACAGAAGTGCTTACAGCGCCAGTAAACATGCATTCCAGGTGAGTCAGGTTATATCGGTTTTGTTGGGAAAGGCCGTGGCGTCAAATTAGTGCCTGATGTTATCTTCTGAGTCAGGGTTCCATACAATTTTTCATCGATTTTGGTGATAATGGCAGCGTTTAGACTTCGCGGTTACGCGCATCGACGCGCTACACAGGCGCTGTAAAGCTAAACACGCGAACGCAGCCGCAGAAGGCCGGCGCCGATCGTTCGCAACTGCGAACACTCGATCGATGAGCGCCGGCCGCTTGTGTTTTGAGAGAGTACTGGGGAATGGTAAACGTTGCCCAGTCACGCAGCCTGATATCGATTGGCACGGTCTGCGGCTGCGTTCGCGTGGAGCGCTGTTGTGACTGTAGCGCGTTGACGCGCGTTACAATGCATTACAGCGCGTCGTCGTGGCGAAGCCTGAACCCTGCCGAAGTTGTGCCGTGCATTGGCGTCTGTGCCATACATTGGCGTCTGTGTCAAAAACTACTGTCTCTCTCGTAATCAGAGCACACAGTTATCCCTACTAGCAGAGCTTCTGCGAAAGAAATTGAGATTTTTTTTCGTTCAGCAACGCCAGATATTCACACACAGCTACCAGGAAAGGTCAACAGGTCAGCCTGGCCATTTGCAATGAGATGCACATCATTGTACTCATCTTGACACGGTGAACTCAAAACTATCTTCATTTGCGGAACGATTCTCTGAGCGGAGTTATGGAGGTTTTTCTTTACTGTTTTTCTTCTTCCGGCGCGCTGGCGCCGAAGCGTTGGCACATGTAGCGCGACTCACAGCGCTCTTCGCGCAAAACAGGTATCATATTCGTGTTCAGGGGGTCAAATAACCCCTAGGGACGTCACCTTAGCGAAATCTGAGCTTCTGACTCAACTTCGAAAAAATGGGGTATGGATAGTCATGGCTGACTGATAGCCAACAGCGATACTATGACTAGCATGACTGGTCTTCGAACTGAAATAACTCTTCAGTCATGTCTTTTCGCAAACAACAGTACTGGATTAACATTTGTGTCGTCTGCATATTTTTCCTGTTCACCGGAAGGAAATTCTATCGCGAGACCAGCCATCGATGGTAAATGAGCTCCAATCTG